ATATATATATAGATATATGTATCTATATATTGATGTATGTGCCTATTTCGCATTGCTATGAGGCCTGCTCGTCCAACTCACGCTTGTTTTCTCATCACATGAACCGTGAGAATTCGTTCAATTGCTCTTGAAGAATATACTTATCTCTATGGCCTGTAAATGTTCAAGTGTCGTAAACATTACTATTTTACGATAGCTGCGGCAGCTTCCCTCACTAGCGTCGTTGACGAATACAATATTCCCTATTCTCCTTTGTGAACGCATATACTTCCAACCAGCACTCATGCTTCTAGCATACCAAATTGCAGGTAATCTTACAAGCAGCTTTGAAGAACGCACTCTTCCCGATATCAGACGAACGTGCGGTGCAATTGGCAAAGGAACGTGACCAGCGGAAGACACTCGAACAGAAGGAACAGGACGAGATACAGAAACTAGGTGTCATGGAGAACACTGCCAATGATATGGCTGCAGATATCCTCAGTGGTCTGGACTTTTTGGAGGGCGAGCAGAAGTAAGAGGGTTGGGATGTGGGTTTTCTTACTCGCGTCACGTTTCACTGAAAGAGCGTATGCGTACTCTGTTTCTGTGAGGTTGTCTGGAGGTCATGTTCTGCCCAATACTTTTTATTTCAGTCTGCTCCTTCCAGAGGGTGAAGGGATGTCCTCGTTACTTCCTAGTGGTATAAATTTGTACTATACGGACAATCCTTCACGACTTCTTATTTGTATCTCAGCAGCTCGCATTCGCATTTGTACTGGATCCTCCCTAGTTTGCCGTATGCAAGACGCTTTTGATACTTACGAGAGAAGCATACGCTTGTACGGAACTATCCTAATAAATCCGTGGATGTAATATCAAAAGAGGAACGTTCATGTATTGAATAGTTCTCCTCATTGATTTTCTGTGTAACAGGGCCGCCAGCGCCGCGGCCGATGCGGATGGGTGGAACGTAGTGCCCGCGCGCAGGGGGAGCACGCGCAAGAACAGGAATAACAGTGAGTCAGAGAATACGCATCAGAGGGTGCACCGCAGTAACTCAAATGCCATACGAAAGGAAAGTATGCCGAAGGGGCGCCAACGTAGTACCAGTGCCGCGGGGAGAAATATGAACCAGGCGAGGGGTAGTACAGGCCAGAAGGGTAGCACGCCAAGTGCACTGAGGAGGTAGTTTATGAGGGTTGGGCTCAATTATGTAGATGAATAAACAAATATAGCTATAATAAAAACCACGTACATAAACTTACAATGGTGTCGATCTCGAGTGAGTGGCAATTTATGGGAATGCTGGCAAAGAAATCTCTGTTGGAAGTACATAAGGTTATATATGAAGCATGAACTCCCACCAACGACCATAGATTGCACTACAGTGTTGTTAATGTTTGTAATTTTGAAAAAGTAAATGAGTCAGGTGAGAGTGAGGGCAATTATTTTATTTGTGTATTATAGTTCTATAGCGTATCGTAAGGGGTGACTATGACAGTACTAACTCGTAGAGTCTGATTTCTTTGTTCATTGCTGATTCCTTCTCTCTTGCGCACAATTCTATAACCACCACGCCAACTTCTCCAAACCCTGTTTGTCCCTGGACGACATCATCGTTAGCCGCAGTCAGAACGCTTCGTTCCAGACTGGCATTTAAGTTATGTTGACCAACTAGACGGAGTGAATCTCGTCGCATTCCCGCGTACATATTAACATTCTGCGGACCCGAATTCAACGTCAGAGAGACTCCCTTCATCACGATAGGCTGAACTAGCGCCATACTGATGTTGTGACATGGGTTTCTTAGTAGGGGCACAAAGTATGTCTCCAGATTGCCATCCACGAGATTGCGCATGTTGTGCTGTACAGCATCACTCAATGTGCTTTTGAGGACATGCGCATCCAGAGACGGCATCAGGGGATCGTACTGTGGTCTGTTAATGTCACCATACTGACTCGCATCTGTTCGAACTATCGCTCTGTATGTTGGTTTAGTTACTGTGCAACCAGGCCTTAGCGCTGTACTGGCTTGGCTCTGTACACTCCCAGTATTTGCATTAACCGCAAACGGATCTATCGCTGCAGTAGACGGGACAAATGGCATAAACATGTGCCTGATCTTGGCATACTTTGGGTTCGAAAGTACCTCGTGAAGAACTCTAACGCTATACTCTATATAATGCACATTTCGCTCGGTGCCCTTGGCCCAGTCTTGTGTGCCTTCGGCTCCAGAAAACGCATTCTCACGCGTCAGCTCGGTAATCTCACCCTCCATCACATCTTGGGGCGTATTAGTCCACGCTGTGAAGAAAAAGTCGGCCATAGTCCTATCGGTCGCGCTTATACCTGACCCAAGCATTTGAAGAAAAAAACGCTGAACCAACTGCTTGCTGGCAACTGCACCAGTACCCACCCACGAAAACTGAGAGTCCATACCTAACGATGGTACACCAAACTTCCACGTATTAGCTATACGGACAACGCATCCATTGGTAGTACTGTGTATCCTATGCGGGTCTTCTTGAGCAAGGTGGAATAGCTGTTCACTGTCACCAACTATCCAATCGTCATCTTGAAAGTAACAGATCGATGCGGATGAAGCCAGACACGCGGCGTATCTGCCAAGGAACAGCAGATTCCCATCGCTGTTCGCATTGTACACGCGTATGCACGGAGTGAACTCGGCGTTCCGAGTTACACTCTTATACGTTGCCACAAGGGCATTTGGATCAATATGCGACTCTGCGTTGTTATTCCAGATTACGACTTCTTTGAGGTGCCTGCTGGCAGAAACACTCTGTAAGATCTGACCAATGAAATCTGCGCGTTTGTATGCCAAAAGCACCACAGCTACGTTGCGCAGAGGATCGTCGACTGAGGTCTCGCAAGTCTGAGAGTGCATCATCCGGTCCGCTTTGTATGCGTGTTTCAATACCCCACCAACCGGCGTACGAGTGACATCGAACACCGCTCTGTCATCTGAGCGAAGGCGCACCGAAGACATAATACAATCAGTGAGGGATCCAGGCCGGACACCTTCTTGGGCCACCATTTTGCCGTACATGTGGTAGCCCATGGCCGTGCGCATAATGGAATCACATCGAACGTCATTAGCTCTATGCATGAACTCTTTGGCTTCCGAGTAATGAACTGGGTATAATAGCTTCTCAGCAACCAATGTCAGTGTTTGCGAGTATTTAGGAATCAATAGACCCATCAGTCTAGGACCAGCACAACCCCAGCACTGAGGATCGTAGTTCTCGTCGAAGTGCTCCAAAGCTTTCTCCATGATGATGTGATGCCTATCCCAATTCAACAGTACTCCATTTGCAGCGCAGAATCGAGTTTTGACAGGGAATTGTCGAGCATCTCCAATAGTCTTCAGGCCTGGCAGATAATGCACTACAAAACAATCTGGATTGTCATCGGCACACGCTTCCGCACCAATAACATTTTTAAAGTGAGCCAGATGGCGCGACATAGGCAGCATAAAGTGGTCCAGATCTACATACGAGCCTCCGTTATGGTAGAGCATAAAAGTACGAAGGAAATCGCTCTCGTGCACTGCATGGAAGGGGGATCTATTGCTGACATCTGCTGCTCGTGTCACCCATTTCTCTCCTGGTAGGCCTTTGGTGAGAATGTTCAAATCGTATCGCTCTACAATTATATAATATCCTGCATCGGTGTAGCTTTTGAAGAATCCCAGGGGCAGGTTGTTCGCGTACACGAAGATTTGAGCACAGGGATCGTAACGAAATATACTCTCTAATGAGACTGAGTTAAAGGGTTGCCACGTTGTTTCATCGGTAGTCCATATTACAAACAGCCGCCTACAAGGAGGTGTGTCCGTAATTAGCTCATATTGGCCAAGTCCGTACTCGTTATTAGGTGCGATAGAGTATCCCAGTTCAGTATCCCAAGTTGATGAAAAGTTCTCGTACAGCTCGTGTGCATCGACTATGTTGTATTCAGGTGCCGTTGCTTCTTCCGTCCTTGCATACATATTTCCCTTAGACATCACCGGGGACTCATTCCATACTGAGCTACTAAAGTTCACACATCCCACAACCACCATTATTAGCAGTAGTAGGTAGGCTGCCTCTGAGGCGGACCTCTTCGTCTGCGTCTTGGCTCCCATTATCTCGGTGTGAATGTGGGTGTGTTTCGACAATGTCAGCAGGGATGCTGATTCTGCCTCTAGATTTCTTGCTAGCTTTGCTTTTATAGAGATATGCGAAATCGAAAAGCTATTCTCATATTAGTTAATTTGTACCGTTGCTTCAAAATGTAATTGGATCCATTGATAAGTATTGCCAAGTAACGATATACTTATTCGCTCCTATTCTGTATTTTAAACTACTGAGTTTTTTTCCCGGTCGCCCTTCAAAATCGTTCAAAATTTACTTTTCACGAAGTGTCACATGAACTTCCTTTCCTGTTGGGAAAATAAAATATAAAATAAATCAGCCCTCTATTGAACATATCTAAATACACCAGATCCGAGGCTTTTTGTTATCGGGAATGATCAGTGGTCACTGATAGTGATCAGTATTAAACCGACGACTCTTGAGGTGTTTTGGCGCCAAGAGCAATTCTGCGGCAATCATTTATAAGTTATTTTTATAAAGAAAACAGTACAAAATACCTGTCCTAAATAAATATTTACAGGTGGAAGTGTAGGTTAACTAATTGTGGTGGCGTGTGTAGGTGGCTCTATTTATGGTGGTTTCAAGAGTTCTCTAGTATTTAGGTACATTTGTATTTAAATATTTATAATGTACATACAGCATTTTTATTTTTTTGAGAAACTTCCCGAGTCATGGTGTCACACTGCCAGCAGTGCCAGGCAGTGTTGTAGTGTTTTCAAATGTCAGGTCCTTTGCATCTCAGACTGACTTTTTCCACTGGTTTTTTCAAAGCAAATAGCCATAGCCTTCTGAAAATTGAACAATATAGCCATAGCCTTCTTGTTCCTTTTCAGAAGGCTATGGCATAGCCCTCTGGAATCCGGATTCTATTTACCCTTGGCTGCCTCTCTCTCTCTCTATTGTGTTTCAAAATATTCCTTCGGACGCTCTGCTATGTATTTAGAATTTATTCAACCATATTTTCTATGTTTACATTTTCAAATATCACGACGAAGTCCCGTGGCCTAAAGAAGCTCCCGTTTACCAAATGAATACCTCGTCTGTTTTACTATATACAGTTTGATTTTATCTTTGTCTGATATTGTGTAATCCTTCTACCCACATATATCTATATATATGAGAAGAGTAACATCTAAACGTATAAATTTCACTCCTGATAACATGTTGCTATCTTCGATTTTCGAATTTGTGCAAGTTTCACCGCCATTCAAAGATTCTGGTAGCTATATGGCCAATCATCGTCGAGGTCTGTACACTGATATTAAACTGATTTTGCTACATACTTTAAGTTTTAATCTTTGTTTCTCATGTGTGCTGATCAAAAAACTACGCTATGCTCGGGAACCTGCCACCTTACCTTTCATTCTGAGCGCTCATTTGCGGTAGGACACAGTCGATTTGGATTGAATATATATATATATATATATATATATATGTATATATATATATATATATATATATATATATATATATATATATATATGTGTGTGTGTATATATGTATATATATAGTATATAGTTAATACTACTATAGTAGACGACATAACTAAAACTAATTAGTTAGGCAGGTATAAGATACTATAAGACTATATACATATACTAC